GGAGTGAAGTTGGGGTTGCTGTCTGTGGTTGGGAAAAGTAGCTGCGGCCAGGCAGAAACGCTTCTCACCAAATTTTTAGAAGGAGGCAAAGGTAATGTAAAGACAGAATGCTATTCCGTTTAGATAAATTTGAACAGCCCAACTATAAAAAATATAGGAACAATCATTGTTGTAACTCATTGTTAAAGAAGATATGAGATGTGAGATGATTTTAGCTTTGAACTGTGTGAGGGAGTGAAGTTGGGGTTGCTGTCTGTGGTTGGGAAAAGTAGCTGCGGCCAGGCAGAAACGCTTCTCACCAAATTTTTAGAAGGAGGCAAAGGTCGTATGCCCCTTCACAGACTTATAGACTTTTGCTTGAACTAAGTATTAAAGGACTGAGTATTAAAGACATATTTATATGGCAACATCACCTTGCAAGTCCTAGGATGGATGGAGAGCAGTAGTCTGTTGTTGGGGAAGGTGTGTATTTTGTACAGATTTGCTACACTGTGGTGCATCCATTCCTTGGAAAACAAAGAACCCTCACAAATACAAATGTGTATTTCTGTAGATGACTTACAGAACCACAAGACCACTGTGGTTACCCCTGTCAACCTAGCAGATATCATAGGTGTGCATACTGATAGGCAGTCCCTTAAATATACTGACCCCACACCACTTAGGAGATTAAAACTTAATATCAGATCCTCAAGTTAGGTCCAGAAGTGCAAGTGCACAAATTGATAATAACATGGCTTGACACACTGAAGGAACCATCAGTGTTTCTGAAGCAGACCTGTAGAGTGTATTACAGAAATCAGATAAGGGAGTAACTTATGCATGGCCACCAGTAGCCAGGTCTGTCTACCCCAGATATGGTTACAGCTGCCATAATAGGATAACCTTAAAAATGTATTCCAGGCCACAAAGACTGTCTCCAGACTCTTCCATGAATAAGAATGAATCCAGGAACACATCTAAGATGCAATATTAAACTTTCAAAGGTAATGCAATTCTCCCCAGAACTAGCTGTTAACTTTAGTTTATATCACTTGGACAAAAGGAGAAAAGGAAAGATTGTAGGTCCCATTTTGCTTGTAAGTCCCATTGTAAGTCCCCTTTTATCCTCCAATAATCGGTAGGGTTTCTCTTAGGTCATGGTCAAGAAGGGATCTCAAGATTGACGATAATTTCCCAAAACTGGAGTGTTGTACTGTGGAAAGTCTTTTAACTACTCTTCCAACCATGATTACAGATACATAAAGATCACCATCCAAACA